ATAGCACCTGCCAGCAGACACCTGGGGTTTGCATCCAGGTGTGAGCAGCTGGGGCTCTTTCACGTGACTCGGGTTATGAGGAAGCAACATTTGGAGCATACGGATGAGGAGCAGTGTGGGAAGGTCTTGCCAAAACTGGCTCTGTCACTTCAGGGCTGAAGAGATGATTTTATTCTCCAAGAGCTGCCAATCTGGTACTTTTCTGCTAGTGATAATATTTCCTAAGTTTAAAAATAAACTTAGTGAAGTATGTGCTACCTAACAATGTATGTCTCTTCAGTATCAGAAAAAAAAAAAGAAAAGAAGAAAAACTACTGAATATCAAACACTCCAAACCCAAAACAGGTGTAGCCAAATTATAGCTTAATATGTTTCAGGTATTCCATTTAGAGCTTCTGATCTTTCAAAGAAATAGGTTTTCCCCACTGAGAAATGTATATGCAGTGAAATTAAAGCAACTTTAGCCCCATGTGAACCAAAAGTAGGTTGGGCATCTATTTTAAATAATCACCCAAGTGTTAATTTTTCATGATGGAAAGAAGACCTGGGAAGAAAGGAATATTCTCTTCTTCTAACCCATATGTTCACCTCAAAGCTACTGTCTTTGCTACTCAAACGTGGGGTGTAATACAGCATAAAACCCAACTTGCTGCTGTTTGCCGTCTTTAGAGACAGGGCAGGGCACAAGGTGGCCTGGGGTGTCCTCTTTGAATATTTGGGGCACCAACCAAGTGCTGTCTAGCACAAGAGGAAAACAAGATGCCAGGGTGAGGGGGAAAAACCCAGCATGTGTACAAGCCTTAAGCTCAGACCCTTCTTCCACCTGAAGTCCATCCTCGCTCTCCCCTTCCTCACTTGGGAGGCAGATCCTGAGGGAATGGTGGCATCCCAGGTGGCCACAAGGGCAGGGAGCTGTGTCTCAGCTGGTGTGGGACTTCTCCTGCCACCCCACACTCGGCCTCCATGAAAAGAGGAAAAAATAAATCCACAGGCAAAGAAGGAAGGCAAGTGCTGCTAAGTGGCTCATTGGTTTCTATGGCAACTGGCTCCGCTCTACTCCAGCTGCTTACCCCACAGTCCCTCTGTCACCCTATTTTTATCTGAGGAATCAAAGAAAAAGGAAAAGTGGTGGAGGTTTGGGGAGGAGAGAGTTTGGAAACCTTCTTGGGTTTTGCAGAGAGAAGGTTAATACGCATGCAGATTTCTTGCTTTTAATCACAAGTTAAATCCTCTGTGTGGAGGCTTCCTATGGGATTTCTCAGACTCCATGCACTGTCAGATCCCACATTTGCCACCATCACTAAGCAGCATGCAAGAAAGGCAGCCCAGCCATGCCCTCCTAAGAATGAGAAGCAGCTAGGCTGTGAATTTGACCTAGGCATTCACACCAAAAACCACAACAAGAATCTTCTACTAGGGAAAAAACTCCCCTCCCACAACCCAACACAATGAAGTGATGGAAGTCAAGACACCAATATTTTATAGCAATTTGGTCTGAAAAGTTATTTCCTTTTTATTAAAACAATGTTGAATCTGCCCATGATCCCTCTGTCCTGCATGATGCCAGAAAATCCTCACAATAAATGCAACATGTTTTGCTCAAATATCTCATTAAGGGAAGAGCCAGAACCACATTCACTTGGGCTGTGCCAAGACTAAGCTTTAGTTCATGGATTTTGGTGTTGGAGACTTTGTTGTTGAGCTTCAATGTATCTGCTGGTAAATCTAGAAGATATTGTAGCCTGCAGTTTCAGTAGGGATAGGAGTGTGTGTTCACTAAAGCATGGAGCCCTTGCCCTCTTCTGATTGACAATAGAATCACCAGATCAAAGAACACGCTGAGTTGGAAGGGGCCCACAAGGATCATCAAGTCCCTGGCCCTGCACCATCCCCAGGAGTCACACCCTGTGCCTGAGGGCATTGCCCAAAACTTCTTGAGCTCTGCCGGGCTGGTGCTGTGACCACTGCCCTGGGGAGCTGTTCAAACACCCTCTGGGTGAAAAATCATTTCCTGATACCCAACCTAAACCTTCCCTGACACAACTTCAGGCCTGGGTTCCCTTGGGTCCTGCCACTGGTCACCACCTGCCTTTCTGAAATAAATGTGCCCAAACACTGTGAGATACAACTATTTTGGCAGATATTTCTAGCTTCACTCCCCTCCTTCTCCCTAGAAATTCCAGAAGTTTTATAACAAAATGTTGCAACTATCCTCCAAATAATGATGCTTAAATTCCAAAGAAGGCAGATTGATGCCATAAACATCTAAATTCACTTTTTCCATTTCAACTGCCATGACATTTGATGCTCACATCCACGCTGTTCCTGCTAACAGCACTGTGGAAGTCTACCTTTGCACCACACATTTTCACTGGCTGCCACAAGAAGGGATATTGATCTGTGTATCTCTGCTCACACAGCAAGGCTTTCCATTTTGGAGCTGTGATATTGTCGTACTAAGAGGACAAGGAAAAGATCAATGATTTCTAACAATGATCACTTTTAAGAGGAAGAGCATTGGTAAAATGACTTACTAGTCCAAGTATTGCGTTTGCAGACTCTGCAATAAGTTCTGTATCCTGGCAGGCATTAACTCCATTGCTTTTGATAAAAGCAGCATATTGGGAGAGAATCACCCACTTTAGAAATGTTACTGACTATAGCATGTGATGGTATATACTTTATATAGAGGAGGCTGCAGCCTTACAAAACTGTGTAAGAAGTGCCAGGGCCCTAGGAAGGCTGGGGGCTCCACAGGAATATCCCTACAGCCCTGCTAAGAGGCAGAGCATCTGGGAGGCACCAGGGGCGACCCCATCCCATGGCATCAGATACCTCTGTGGAGCAGCAGGGCAGAGCTGTGGGGAGCTGGAGAGCATCCCTGCTGCAGCCTAGCTGGACAGAGGCTGATGGCTCTGAGGGCCTGGGACCTGGGCAAAGTGGAAGAAGCCCTGAGAAATGCTGGGCAAGGACAGTCAGGGTTGTTGGTGTCCCCTTGAGAGGCCTTGAGAAGAAGTTGTACAAGGTATCTCAAGAAACATTTCAAACATTTCAGTTCCTAGGAGTTTGGAAGCTGGCTTACTCCATAAAGCTACTGGGATTTTTTACTTCCATCTGTGGTCCCCAGAACATACAGTGGAAACATACCTCATGGTTTATTCACCACTGTGTGAAGCAGCCAGGTACTGCATTTGCCAATTTTTCTCCAAATGGCCCTCTGTTAGTTTCTGGAAAGGCAGGAAGAAAAGGTGCTCCCAACGAGACCTCTTCTGATATACGTTACTTCAAACATTGTGATCAAGCCCCTTCTGAATGTATTTAATTTCTTGAAGCCACTACCAAGCTCATCCTCCCAGGGAACCTTGTAAAATGCGTTATCAAAATCTTCTCTAGCACAAAACAACACATTCACCCTATAACCCTCCTGCACCTCTGCACAGTCTGGGGGACTGTCAGGATGAAAACACACACAAGAAAGCAGAGAGGACTCAGGACTACAAATCTTTGTTTGACAGCCTTGGAAAATGAGAGGCCCCTGAGAACAAGACAAGGACAGAAAGAAACTTACAGAAGACTGAAGCACACAATCAGGACTCTTCTGCCAGGACATTTGCTGAAGGTGGCCTCTGGGCAGCCCAAAAGAGATGCACGGGAGAAAAGATCCCTTGCAGTGAGGGGCACTGAAGGCAGAAGCAGAGGTGACCTGAAGGGAAGCAGCAAGGCATGCTTACAAAGCCTTCAGTTCACAGGATGGACAGCAGCCTCTGCTGGGTGGGGATGGACAACCTCACGTGCTGAGCAATAAATGAAAGGGTGAGTGACTCCTTTTAAAAGGGGTAATCAAGGGCAGAAGTGAAAATAATCAAATGTGCATCTGCACTTGCCTCTGCAGGTTTGGTAGAGAGGTGGAAGCTCTTTGACTGCCAGACAAGTGGCTTTACTGAGGAACAGTGTCCCATTTGCAAAATTGGAGGCTATGATTCCTGACCTTCTTTGCAGAGCATTTTCATAACTACAGATGGAAATAACCAGCCCTAGGTGGTGATTCTGATCATCATTTATTCTGCTTTCTGACAAGAGGAGTGTACAAGCACTTTGAGATGAAATGTGTCTGCACATTTAATATTAATTTATGGAAAGTACTCATGTGCAGTCTTGACATTTGTTTTCCACATATAATAGCAACAGGAAACTCAAGCCTTTGAATGTTTATAAGAAATGAGCACACATGCAAACAATGCTGACAGAAGATGATTTTTCTTTACTATCTGAATATTTTCACTTCTTTTGCTTTTCTCATTTGTCCTTATTCAGCACATTTTAACCTGCAAGTGTTATCCTCAAAGGTCATAGGAAACTCAGATTGTCAAATAAAGCTGAGGCACTGTAAAGATTGTACTTGGTAACACAGACTGAAACTGATAGAGATATGTGTAGAGAAATCTTACAGAGGTCTGACCATAGTGTAAAGTCTGACAAAAGAACCTCCACTCATCAAGGGGGACCCTTAGCCCTATCCACCATAAACTAGAAGACCCAAGTTAAAAAGGAAAAGCCATATTAATTATCAAACATGAATTGGCTCCATGGAATAGTCTCTCATATCTGTACTTCCAGATAGTCCATGGCAGCAGGGTAACATAAAATACTTTAGTCTGGCTGACACAGCCTAAAACTCAGTACTGACTCCTTCACTGAACTGCCAGGACTGTCCACAAAAACATGTAGAGCAGCTGCAAATCTTATTTGCTCTGCAGAGCCCTTGGATAAATCCCTCCTTAGAGTTGTCCTCAGGATGACTGAGCTACAAAGCTGGTGGGTGCCAGTGACTACTCCAACACCTGCTGTCTCACTAATGATCTCAAATCCCTCATCCTCCAGGGAAGCAAGATACATCAAAAACAGAGAGAGAGGAGACTCTCTCCTGAAGAGGGAAATAAGCTTTTCTGAGTGTCCCATCCAGCAGTTCAGGGGAGTACTAAAGGGAAGAAAGGTGAAAATCAGACAAACAGCTTTTGTTCCTTTATTGTAAGAACTGCTAAGCTATTTTGCATTAAAGAGATGTTCCTTTGTTAAGGGTAACTCCATAGTTATCAGATCTCTTTTAGCAATGTCATACATGGATGTTTATCATCTGCTGTGCTAGACTTTGTCCAAGCTCAGTCTCCTTGATATCAAGCAAGAGTGACTTGTAGGTCCTAGTCCAGGTGTTGTGTCATTTGTGTGCTTTGCATTCCGGGCACAGAAACAGAGGAACTGAATCTTGAGGCTCTTTGTTTTCTCATCAGTTGTTTTAATGAAGCAGAATAATTCCATTACTCTATACAGAGAGGGAGCAGGCAGACTGTCTTTTCTTTCTGAGATCTGTTTGCTGGTTCATAATTTGCAGTGGTGATCTTGAAAAAGCTGGCATAGTTTACAACCAGGCACTCTTCAGAAAGGAGATATATCACTGAGAATTACTTGCTTATCAGGTCACTCTCCCCATCATCCAGTGCAAAAGGCCTGCAAAGTAATTTTCATTCCACCTGGTGTCCTAAATCCATGTCACTCTGATGTTTGCAGTAAAGGAGTTCATTCATTTTATTTGCATCCTTAAAACTCCAGCCACACCTTGGTACCCAGCGACCCTGCTTGCCTTGGCTGCAAAGAGATGACAGGGGCATGTCAGGATCTTGTGCTAGCAAAAGAAGCAGCAATAGAATGAAAAAGGGAGGAGGATGCTGTGCTACACAAGACATCCAGGAAAGACATTATGCAGGTTACTAGAAACATCCTGCAAGAGAAGCAGACTTCCAGGTATTTTTTCAGAGACTGGCAGTTTCTGAAACATCACAGGATGATGATGTTGTGACTACTTCAGTTCTTCAGCATCTCCACCAGGAAACAGCTCACAAGGTGCTTACACTGAAAAGCAGTAAACAGCTGGCTGGAAGTTCGAATTGCACAGCAGCAATGGTCCTCAGGAGAGATCCAAACACCAAGCACAAGCATGCACTGGCAGCATTCGAAACACATGAGCAACTGTGGCTCACCCCTTAATGCAGGCTCTCAACTGGATCAGTGAATACTCAGTTCAGACAAATGATGGAGTAACACACATCCTGACAAATTTGGCAGACACTAGACTTCTTTAAGGACATTGATGCACCCTGATCTGTTTTTCCTGCCCCATGCCACACAGGCACATCCTTTGCTTCGTACAGTCTGTGTTAATGGATGATCAAAGGTTTTTCTCTCTGTGTACTACTTTGAGACACCTTTGCAGCAAATTACATGGCATCATTCAGCAAGAGGCAAAGGTCACACATCCAGCTGTGAAGTGGGCCAATAACATCATACTGGGTGGTTCCTAAAACCAGCTGCAATAATGGGGATAATGTAAGGGACTGACATAATGGCAATCTGACGATTTAGTGTTGCTATGCAACTTGAGTTGGGAACAGACTTTTGCAGTTGCTTCTTAGTTGTCCATTGAATGCTCACTGACAGTGTCTGGCAACATTCCCCACTCATCACTTTACCTAAAGCAGCAAGAATTCACGTGCAGCTTTTGTGCCAAGGTGCCCTCTTCAAGCCACTAGTGTAAGCAAACTGATATGCAGACACTTGCAATGCTTTTTCCAACCTGAATGAGATTCCTGTTGTGCTACACACTCGCATAAATGGCTACATAGCTTCACACACATTTCTCTTTCCTCTGATTCATTGCAGATCTTTCCCTTTTCCCTCCTTTCTCACCTTAAGATCATCATGAAAATGAACTTCTTGTCAAAGAAGAGTACTGTCTTCGGAAGCTTTTCCCTGGCCATGTCACAGCTATTATCACACCAGTTCACACAGTTTTATAACTTTGTACATGTGATTCCTTCAGACCTTTTTATCTTTCTCCCAACTGTTTTCTCAGACTCATACAAAGTGGGAATAGATACAGTACTTGCTCCATCTTGTTTTATTCATCTGCCCTGAAAGTGCCTTGACCTGTCTTGAAACTGACCAGTTCTAAAACCCCCAAGCAATGATGCCTTCAGCCCTTTCCATGGGACTCTGAAAGACTGACAAAACTCAGTGGTTAAGGAAGCTGACCTGCTCATCTCCCATGCTGAAACCTGACTGCTCCTAGTGACATCTCCTTGTGCCACCCTCAAAAACCTGCCCTTGCATCCTGGTATCACCAGTACGCTAAGCTGATGGCTATTCTGCATCGTGAGTAATTCATTCCCTCTGATCCTTTGTTATCACTTCCCAGACCTCTGTCAATTTGTTGCTTTTCTGTGAATTCCTGTGCTTTCCACAATCTGTTTTGTGGTGTTGCTTGTGTGATGTTTAATAGCCGCAGCTCGGAGTTGGCTGCATTTCAGTGGTAGGAGGGGGAACACAGGGAACTGTGAACTGAAACTCTGTATAATGTTGCTGGAGATGAGAACAAGTAAGGGAGTCTTTGCTATGCACGCTATCTCCAGAAAAACATCTTTGCAAATGTGTATCTGTGCAGGCATTGTGGAGATAGGGATTACGTTATGCAGAGGGGAAGAGGAGCTGACTGACAGTAGAGATTTGCAGTCCATATTGATGTTTCACAATTGTGCATCTGTCTGCAGAACAGCCATGAAGCTCTTGAAGCCGTTGCACTAAAAAAAAAGAAAAAAATAAGGAAAGATAAATCAATAATTTCACTCACTCTTACCACAGCTTTATCACAGAGGGTGAGGGAGGAGTGTGTCATAACAGCTCATACTAGTGCGAAAATTTTAATCGAAACAGTCTTCAACCAGAATAAACCACTTTGATAAAATCAACATTTTTCAAAAAATTCTAAGTACAAATGAAAAATCCCTATGTAAAAGGAGCTGAAACAAAAATTTCAGTATTGAAAAGTTTGCCTTAAGGAAAAAAACAATAGATTTTTTTTCAAATTAAAATACTGTTTTTTAAAGCAACCTTTTCTTTTCTTAACATATTTTTCTGCTTGTGTTGTTTTTATGTTCCTCAGTTAATAATGAGAGACCTTGATGTGTTCAATATCCTGCTATTAGCCTGGAATCAGGTTTCCAGGATATTAAAAACAATTGGTCCCTAACTAGTACCCAGAACATTTCTATTTCAGAGTGCAAAAATTTAAATTGTTCCATTCAGCACAGACTAATAAAGCTGCTATTGCTTTTGAGAGCAAACTCATTACTTCGTAGAAAAACCACTTGTTTTGAATATAAAATATCACCTGTACTAAATTATATAACAATATTTAATTATTATATTCATGGTATGTTATGTTACTGGTAGGATTGCATAACGTGGCCTCATATGAGACTTGACTTGGCATAACTTAACTCTCCATTTCAACTGATATGTGAAATGACACCAAAACTTCACTAATTTTTAAAATAAAATATCAGTTATTTTTCTAAAAGCATCTAATTGAAATGTTCATAGTTTTAGTTTCTAGGAATACACTGGAAACAGTATTTTTATCACTAAAAGTAACAAGATGCCTTGAAATCATAAACTTTGACATTTCTCTCAAATGAACATTTCAAGTTTCCTCTGGCTCTCACTTAACCTGTGATTCATTCTTTGCACTAGCTCTAAATTTCCCTATTTGGAATAGTTCTCAGATTGGCGGCCTTGTCAAAAGCAATCATCATAAATTCAGCATGCACTTTATCGTAGCTGGTTCTACCAGCATTTGTTGCAAGATAGAGCAGTTCATCGGTACTCACTTTCATTATTAATTCTCTTTTCTGTGCACTCACAGGGATCTCAAAATTATCCCCATCAGAACATATAAATGAGGATAAAAATAAATCAGGATAAATTACATCAGTCTTGCCACCCAACCACACCCAAGAACACAGAGGATTTTCAAGGCTCCCACCACAGCCCTGCTCACAAGATCCTGTTGCAGGGAGGACCCGGCATGGGACTGACACTTCTCCTCCATTCCTCTGCTCACCCCATGGCGCATCAGAAGAGCTTGGACTTCCCTTTCTAGCATGTCAAGGCAGGAAGAAAAGAAAAAGCTCTCCTTGCTGAAAGCCCAAGTCCTTTTCTTCGTGCCGTCAGCAGCTGCAGTGGAACTGCAACCCAAGGCTTCCACCTAGTGTCTGTGTGCCGGCCAGCTCGGCACAGCGGCGGCCGCCAGGCCGGGGCGCCAGGGCTGCCCTGCGGCCCACAGCGGGAGCAAAGCCCTGGCTTATTTGTGAGGTGGGAATGTTTTCCTCACAATACAAAACCAAACCTCGGTTCATTATGGACCACCCAAGCTGTCACCTAGAACAAACCACCTTCTAGTTTTCATGTGGAAAGTAAGATTATGTGCTAGAACCCAAGGCTCTGGGTGGATGCAACAGAAAAGAGGAGGAGAAGCTTGTTGAATTACATAGGACCATTCTCACATGCCCAAGGATATTTTCTTAACCTTTCTCTGGTGCTGACTTGCCTTCAGGGTAAGCCCACAAGAAAACTGAGTGACTTTCTAACATTTTAATTCTACTAATTAAGAGATACTTAAAAATTAGGCATGGCCTTTAGAATTGATATGTGATAGACAGGCACATTTCTTTTACTTGTGTTTGACTCCTTCCTCCACGTTCATTTCACATCAAGGTGATGGCTGTTCTGCATCATGAGTATCTCATTCCCTGTGATCCTTTTTTTCCCCATTTCCCAGACAACCTCTGCAGACTTGGTGGGACTTTAATCAGAACAAAGAATGAAGGACCTTATCAACAATTGGTTTTCCCTATCCCTTTCTCCATCCTATGAAAAGACAGTGTGTTTGCTGTTGGACTTTGATTTCCTTAAGGGCATCTAAAGCAGTACAATCTTGGTAGCTGTCAAAGCAGCACCCTTTGTGTATTGTCACCCTCGTACACTCATACAGTGACCTGACATGAAAGTGTCTTCTACCTTCTCTGATAAGTCCAGTTTTTAAAAATGTCTAGTGCAGGTGTTTCCAAGACCTTTCACAAAAGGTGAGAAGGATTTTTAAATGCTTCTCTTGATCTCTCTGCTTCAGCTTCCTTGGAGTAAGTTTCCTTGTGCTTTGATTTATGTAAGCTAGAGGCTGTGTTCTCCCTCCAACACCTGCTATTAGTCATTTGGGCAAGTGGGTGTGTATATGTAGATCCATACATACACCCATTCACAAGAAAACTCTGTTAAGAGGAGCTCAGAGCTTACAACAGGGCCACAAAGCTTTTTCGAATACATAGTCACACTTGGAAACTGGAGTCACTGAAAGCCATAAAAACTCACCAAGCCATGAAACCTGATCCAGCTGCCTCAGCATTCCAGTATCCCACTGCTCTCACCTAAAAAAACCCATATTCCTTCAGCTTCCCAGCTGCCAACTCTTTTTATGATGTGCATGAAATTCAGGGTATGTTCTATGGGGTTAGAAGACCATTTTAGCTGAATCAGTCTGTGTGCAGTGTAAATGTAAACAGGAAAGGAGAAGCCGCTGACGGAAGAAATGGTTGGAGCTGATGCACACACGTTTCCCCTTGGGGATGATGAAGGACTGTGCAACACAGACACAGCATTCTGCCACACAAGACCAGCAGACTGTCATGTGGGAGCTCCACCACAGTACTGGTAGGAGCTATAGGGTGAATACAGAGAGTATATTTCATTGACGTCACTCACCAGCATAACTTAGAACAGGGCTAAGCACAAATGCAAAAAGAACTGCCTCCAAGCTATTCTATTTATATTCCTACCAGAGCTACCATTGGTACAGTCATCCTGCTGCTGAAATCCTGACCCTGTCGTTACCAGTGTAGCCACAGACCAGAGGAGATCATTTTGGATCTTTTCAGAATTTGGCATGTCTTAATACCAGCAAAAGCAGCATTGGCAGGGGGTGGAGTGTGCTATTTGCACAGGACCTGCGTCAGGATTGGCATTCAGTGAATAGCAAGACATATGAAGGCATTTTATCCCAATATAGAGAATAACGCATCTTCCTCTGCGTTGCTGGTGGTAACTTTGGCAGTCCAAGGAACAATGGTAATTGCTTGTTACTGTGGAAACAAGACCTTCAGAAATAACACTAATGAGCCAGCAGGGTCGTGGGAGAAACACAAGCATACTGTCTCCTGCAAACATACATGATTTGGCTGCACAGAGGAGCTGGAGCTCTGGGGAAAGGAGCAATTTATTTGAATGCAACAGGCACCCAGCACAACCTCCATTCATCCCCCAAGCCAGTCTGAGCCTGCAAACAAAGCTACTTGAAAAAATGTTCAGATAATTTTGGAAATCATAGCTTTCCACCCTGCACCCTGCCTTAAATTTTGGGGAAGGTGACTGGGAGATCCTCCCTCCTTTGGAGGGAGCCATTTTGTGCAATACACCTGATAGGAAGATGTCTCCAAAAATCTCTCTATGAAAAACACATTCTTACAAATTTCCCTACCCAATTCTGCAGATGCAAGGATGTCTGTCAGTAATCTGGGAGATGGGTCTAGAAGCATCTGAATGGCAAGGTCTTTTCCTAGTAAGTCTGTTTGTGATCCACCACCACTCCAACCTAAACAAGACAAAAGGAGGAGCGTGCACAGCAGAAGAGGGGAAAGAAAGTAGGAGACACCAAGAGCCTCAGCATGTGCCTTTTTCCCCTTTCATGCTGTGTTGCTCTTGACAAAAAGAGGAGAAGACAGTGAAAAGGAAGGGTGGATGGTAACCTCTGAACACGGGTAATTTTTGTGCTCCATATTCTTTTGCCTTGTAAAATCCCCAAAATTATGCTTTCTGCCCCAGTCCCTACTGGGACAGGAGCATGGTGGGTGGCTGCATATTAATTGTATGCTCAGCCTCATGTGCTAGATGCCAGGAAGTGGACCTCGTGCTCAAACTGCCCTGAAGGATTATTCCTTCTGCCTGCCAGTGGCTCCAGGGCTGTTAAACTTGATCTTCCTACTAAAGGTGTCCTACTTCAGATTAGCAGATGGCCTCAAAGGAGCAAAGGTAGGCACTGAAGCCAGAGGTAGCCTGGGCCAGACAACACTTTCAAACACATCCTGCCTTAACATGAAGGAATGTTTTTGATTACTCCACTCTACAGGGGAAAGATAAGAGGATGTAAACATCAGTCACAGGGAGAAGAAAGGCGTACTCAGATGACAGGGCCTTTTCTACTGGTGGCTCCTGTGGCAGGCCAGGAGCTTCTCAAAAAGCAAATAAACAGGTAGGGTCACCACTTTGCTTGTTATTGCACTCCCTTGAATAATTTCTATTCACTGTTTTTTGTTCTATACCAAGAAACCTCAGATAAAATCAAGGCCCTCCTGCACAGATGAGGAACATTCCTGACACCAGCTCTTGCCACACTGTATGCCCGCACAACAAGCAGAAGGAGAAGAAGAAAGAGGGTGTTGTCTACAGACGAGGACCTAAGGCAGAAAGACATGGAATGACTCAGCCATGGTTATATCAAGAGTTAGTGGCAGTCAATAGTTCATTAATAGCAGTTTCAGTCTTTGTCCAGAGCTTTTGCACAGCCTTTGTCTAGAGCTTTAATCATAAACTCCTCCATTTTCCTACAACCCAAAAATAGATCATGGGTAAGCAGTGCGAAGAAGTTTGACATATAAATGGGAAATAAAAGTCAGAAGTTAAATGATCAAGATGTTGACATGTCCTTCAAATATTGTGGGCAAGAGCTCTCACAGCTTTAATAATTTTAATTTCAGAAATTTTAATCACATTTGTGTGAAGGGGTTTTGACTCTGCAGAATAAACAAAAATAAACAAATTTTTTAAAAAAAGTTTAAGGTCTGAAGTTGCTCTCAAGACATGTATGTCAAACAAAACAAAACAGAGCTGTGTGCATATTGAGGCCAGCAAATTAACAGTATGCTCCCCACTGCTGAGCTGCTGTGGCCCCGTTCAGGATTTCTGCTTTCCCCAGCAGCAGTGGGTGACACTGCAGGTATCAGAGCAGAGCATGGTCCAGCACACCTGGAGAGCCAAACCAGTTTGGGGCTGCAGTCAGAGAATGATGGAGCCAGTTGAATAAGGGAGGAAATTGCCCCAAACACTGCTCCTTTCCAAAAAATAAAAGAGTTTAAATCTGTACAGCCTCTCTCTGATGTGGTTACGTGAGCAGTGTCCAGTGTGTACGAACCTCACAGATGTTAAAGAAAGAGAGGAGAAATGAAACTCAGTTTGGGTTACCATTTTTGAGGTTGTAGCTGCATATTTGCCGAGAGCATCCCACCCCTCCAAACACAGAAGGTTACCATGGTGACAAATTTCAGCTGTAGGTAAGGAAATGTTTCTGTATGAGAGCCATTTTGTAGAAATATAAAACCTAAAGATTAAACCCCATTGCACCATTTATAATCTTCGTTGCCACACATTCACAACTAGATGAGCTTTCTTGTCTCAAGAACAGTTAACCAAAATGCAAATAAAGCTGCTTTGTTTTAATTCATGTGTTCTGCTAATGGAGCTCATCTCCGTACAGTAAAATAACACTCTCAAATTCAGCAAAAAATGTAGGCTTCTAAATTGTGTCTAAGGGAGTTATTAATACTTTTGATTCTCAGAAGACAGATCTATTCCATTGCTTGACTGTGAATTACAAGAAAATTGCCTTAAATCATGCTTGGATCCAATTCATAGCACCTTAAGCACAGCAAGTCCCCAGTGCAGCCTGCATCATGCAGGCACGGCAGGGAGCCAAGCGCGGCTCACATTGTAGATTTCCTCCCAGTCACTTAGGAGAAGGTTACAGCCCAATGATCACATGTTCAACCAGGCCTAAATCATAGATCAGCTTATGAAAGCCATCACAGTAAGCTCCCTCTCCTCCCATCCTAGGATTCCTAAGTAACTGCCATGTTCTAAGGTGCCACTTCACCAGTCGTCCCAGCCTGAGCAGTTCTGCTCCTGCTGCTTTAATTTCTCTGAGTCTTAGCACAGACAAAGGGAGGCACACATTCTTGGACCACCATCACCTGGGAGCCAGCAGCAGAGTGCCAGCTGCTAGAACCTCCTGTAAGATTACTGACCTTAACACTGCTAAAGCTTTGTGGCATTCAATGATGCCTTTCTCTGCGAACTCTTCCTTGCCCCTTGTGTCTCACACAGACACCAACATGCTTGGGGCTGTAAAACCATCCCTCATAGCCAGAGCACAGCTAAGTGACGCTCTGGCTTTAGTAGAGTCAAATGAGCAGCAAGACAATTGTGGGATAAACCCCTGCCTTAAACAATGTATCCTTTTCATGAAAAATGGGAGGAGAAAAGGGCTGGAGAACTACTGAGCATGGGTCCCTGACATGTCTGGCAATGTCATTCCACCTCCTTAGTCTTCACTGCAGGAATGAAGGCTCAATCCTTCCTTCTCCCCATGAGCCCATGCAGGCATGTACTGCTTGACCATCCTGTTAGCATACACAGCCACATCACAAGCATTGCAGAGAATTGCAGGTATTCTCCTTTTGCCTCAAATCCTTTCAAAATACCTACTCTCTGAAATTTCAACATCCTGCTTTATTTAGTCTTCAAATTGCCTTTCAGTCATCACCAAAATGTATTGATTACAATTCATTTACTGTGTAAGGATATTCAGTGAACTATGCCTCAGTGAATTGTGCCAGATTAATTGTGCACTCAGCTCAAATACACAAGCAAAGTTCAGCCCTCACCCAGCTAAGGGGAGGACTCTCTTGGTAATTTATGATGTCCTCTAGCCAGGGGAGCAGAAGAGGGAGCAATCACTAACCAGTAAAGCCAGCAGCAGCTCTGAGTTTTTATCACACAGCAGCAAATGGGTCTTTGTGGCTTGCAACAGGGTGAAGATCCTTGCTGCAAACTGTTCTTCCATAAACTGTTTATACTGGAGAGTCCAAGTTAGGAAAGACTGGTCTGGTCAGAGTTCAGATGGGCACAGGACTGTGTAACCAGTCATTTCATCCACTTCAGCAGGACCAGCTATTTAAACCTGAATACTGGTTTTGCATGACCTGGTTTTGGTAGCAGGAGGCTATGGCGTGGATTCCATGAGAAGCTGCCAGAAGCTCCTTCTGTGTTGAGCAAAGCCAATCCCTGACAGCTCTAAAGATGGCACATGCTGGTCAAGGCTGGGCCAATTATGGTGGTAAAGCCTCTGTGATAACGCATTTAAGAACAAAGATAAACAAAAAGTGATTGCGTATGTTTTTTGTAAAGTGATTGGATCACTCAAACCACAAAAAGTGGTTGGAGTGAGAACATGTGAGAAGAAAACTCTGCAGACACCAAAGCCAGTGAAGGAGGGGGAAAGGTGCTCCTGGCACCAAAGCCAGGATTCCTCAGCAGGCCATGGTGAAGACGTGGTGAGGCAGCTGTGCCCCTGCAGCCCACGGAGATCCATGGGAAGGCAGAAATCCACCTGCAGCCCATGGAGAAGCCCTACGCTAGAGCAGGTGGATGGCTGAGAGGTGGCTGTGAGCCCATGGGACACTCATGGAGAGAGGGGCCCTCCTCTCAGGCTGGAGCAGCCTTTCTGTGAAGGACTGCACCTGTGGAAGAGTGACCCACGCTGCAGTGCTTTGAGGAGGACTGTTGCTTTTGAGCTGGACTCGTGTTGTAGCAGTTTGCAGGGAGCTATTGATCGCGAGATGGACTCATATCAGAGAAGTTCATGGAGAACTGTCTTCCATGGGAGAGACCCCACAGTGCAGCAGGGGAAGGACTCCTCTCCCTGAGCAGCAGGAGAAGCCACAGGTGATCAACTGACCATAACCCTCATTCCCTGTCTCCTTGCACTGCTGGAGTAGAAGGTAGAGCTGGGAAGGAGGGAGGGGTGGGAGAAAGGTGTCTTTAAGTCTTTTTTTTACTTCTCACTCCCCGGCTCTGATTTTGGTAGTAATAAATTCAATTCATATCT